TCCCGCAGCTGGAAAGTCGTGGCGAGATTGAAGTACTCGGAGTCGAGTTGGTCCTTTCGGGATATACAACCGCTCCTCAAAATACAGAAGATCTCCCTCCACCTTAAACTTGTCATTATCGACACGTTGTTTGATGTCAAGAGCTATAGAATCCTCAATGGTCGCAGTACGTACCTCGCTGAGGAAGCCGTCATCGATAGTTGCAACAGTAGCAAAAATCTTGAATTTTTCTGGTTTCAACAATGTTGTACATTGTTGATCAAACGCTGCTTCTCCAGCCTTTGGCGCAAGATACGATCTCTTCGATAATGCGTCAGATAATCCTTGCTGTTTTCCAGGGCGGTAGGTGATAATAAAGTCAAATCGTGATAGAGACATATTCCATCGAACTTGACAACGATTCAAAATTCGAGCTGTCATGAAGTACTCCAAATTCTTGTGGTCCGTATAAACAGTCACTGGATGTGCAGCTCCTTCGAGGAAGTGACGCCACTCTTGGAAGGCATCCACTATAGTAAGCAGCTCTTTGTCGTGGATCTCGTAGTTGATCTCAGCAGCAGAGAACTTCCGTGAATAGAACGCAACTGGGTGAAGCTTCTTGTCTATGCCCATCTGTGAAAGCACAGCTCCCAAAGCAAAATCTGAAGCATCGGTCTCTAAATAGAAAGCCTTTGCAAAGTCAAGGTGTATCAAGATTGGAGCCGTAGTAAATGCCGTCTTGAGATCTTGAAATGCTTTTGCTGCTTGTGATCCCCATTCGAGCTTGTCTTTGCTTGTTAGACGCGTGAGTGGTGCAGCAACTTGAGAATAATTCTTGATGAAGATCCGATAGAAGTTAGCAAATCCAAGAAAACACTGAACATCTCTAACCGTCTTCGGAACTTCCCAAGATATAATTGCTTCTACCTTTTTTGGATCCATCTTCAAGCCCTCTGTAGTCGCAATGAAGCCCAAAAATTCCATCTCATTCTGGTGAAATTGACACTTCTCCAACTTGGCGTAGAGTCCTCGTTCGCGTAGTTTTTCAAGAACCAAACAAACGTGCTTCTCATGTTCTTCTTCATTCTTGGAAAATATCAAAATATCATCCAGATAGATGACAACAAAGTCATCGAGGTACTCCCGAAAGATGTCGTTCATCATATGCTGAAAGACCGCTGGAGCATTGGTAAGACCAAAAGGCATGACATTGTACTCAAAATGGCCATACCTTGTACGAAAGGCTGTCTTCCGTTCATCTCCTTCTTTGATTCGCACAAGGTTGTAGGCTCCTCTTAAATCAATCTTTGTAAAAATCCTTGCACGTCCAAGTTGATCTAAGAGGCCGGAGATCAAAGGTAAGGGATAGCGATTTTTCTTGGTCACCTTGTTGAGTCCTCGGTAGTCCACGCACATCCGCAGTGAGCCATCCTTTTTCTTCACGAATAGGATTGGTGCTCCAGCTGGCGACTTTGAATGTCGAATAAAATTCTTGGCTAGATTCTCATCGATGTACTTCCGCAATTCTGCCAACTCCGTCTACGATAGGTTGTATATTGGACCAAAAGGTGGTTGCGCTCCTTCCTCTAAGTCTATGGTGCAATCATATGGTCGATGTTCCGACAGTATATCGGCGTTCTTCTTCTGAAACACGTCTTCAAAATCCCTATATTGCTCTAGTATATTCGATGTTGAGATATTCTCGCCGCTAGTTGGAGCTGCATAAATGACAAATGGTGCGCCTTCCTTGGACGATCTTAGGAACGCTCTCGCTGCAATAAACATGGATTTCTTCATGTAGGTTCTACCAACAGGTTTATTATTATTTTTTTCAGGAAATGTTATCCTTCGTAGCCTCCAATCAATGGACGGATTATGATCTTCTAACCAAGAAAGACCAAGGATAACAGGGCTTGATGGGGTTCTAATAATATTAAAAATAACGTGACTACTATGGTCCTTAAACACCACTTCTATAGGTTCTGATTCGTGGGTAATGTTGCCTGACAATAAGGGTCGTCCATCTATCACCTCTACGTGAACAGGTTTGGACTTCTGTACTAAACGGATCTTGTGGCGTTTAGCAAACTCTTCATCTAAAAAACAAGTAGATGCCCCCGAATCCAATAAAGCTAAAGTTTTTTGTTTTTGAGGGCCTAAAAACAAAGGAATTGTAAAACAATGGGCAGGTTGGACAGAGAAGGAGGAACCTGATTGTTGTCGTGATATTAGATTGTCCAGTCGCACGGTTCCTACTGTGGCTGGGCGTCGTCGTTTTCCGGAATCATCGCACTTCTAGTCTTGACAGGGTGCCAATTTTGCTTCTTTGGGCAATTTCCAACCTTGTGACCTTCTTCTCCACAGTACAAACATAACCCTTCCTCCATACGCCGTTTCTTCTTTGTTGGAGTAAGAGATCGGACACGCGCCATGTCAATTTGCATGTCTGTTGCCTCCGAATGTGAGTTTAAGCTATTTGCAGACATAGTCACGTCGTAACGAGTCATTTGGTGTCTTGGACGTTGGTCTTGGCGACGCTGGAATAGGTGATTATCACACTTTACAGCTTGGCTAATAGCTTCGTTGAGCGTTTGAGGATCATGAAGAGATAACAGCAAGTCCTTCACATCATCCTTCAAGCCCCAATAAAACTGACTCACCAACGCCTCTTCACCCCAATTAATATCACTTGCCAATTGTCTGAAATCCGAGGCATAGACTGATGTAGAGCGTGTTCCTTGTCGTAGCGATCGGATCTTTGTTATAGCCCATCGAACTTTATCATGCTCGCCAAATGCTTCTGCAAACGCCTCCAAGAACGTTTCAAAGTTGCTCAAGATTGGCGATCGCTTCTCGAACAAGGGAGTAAATCAAGACAGAGCTTGTGTTGTAAGCAAGGTTCCAACAAGCCCAATACGCGTTTCCTCCGTCGAATAACGTTCGGGCTGTAAAATTGTTATCAACCTGATTTGCTTGACAAAACCTCGAAACTCGAAACGAGTTCCATCAAACTTATCCGGAAGACTAACTCGAGGCTCCTTTCGTTGTAGGACTACTCGATCTTGTTGAAATGGAGGTAGAACTGCTTCTTCTGGCGCAGAAGTTTGAGGCTGATATGCTTTAGATGGCGCTATCCCAGATGCTCCATTGTTATGGAGTCCTACCATGACTCCTTCGATCTCTGTTGTCCTATGTGACAACGAGGCAAGAGCATTTATGATGGCGTCTAGTTTGGATTCCAAACTTTCAGCCATTTTAACATCTTAACCTTCGGCTAACCTTCAGAAAGAAGAAAAAAGAGTTTTGACAAGAGGACAATATTGGTTCAGAGGAGAGTACTCCGCAACCTCTAAAACGCCTTAAGACTCCAAGATGAGGGGTAATCCACTCTCTCCAAGAAGAATAAGGCTCCAATATTGAGAAAGAAGAGATATCAGTTTAGAGGAGGGTAATCCGCAACCTCTAAAACACTAGCACACCTTCAAGAAGAGGGGTAATCCACTCTCTAACAAGAAGGAACTAGCTCTGATACCAGTGAAAATGCAGGCTCGACAAACTGTCACGGACACCAAAATACAGACTTGAAATCTAACAAGAAGTTCAAGAAGAAGTGGTAGAACTAGATTAAACAAATGAGTACAAGAACAACACCAGAAAGGTGAGCTAGAACTCCAAGAGATGTGTTGTCGAGACTGAAGAACCCTTCAGCCTCGACTCCTATATATACTACTGAATAGGAAGCTTCTCGAGCCACTTATTAGAATCTATCAGAATATTCTACAACCTTCTAAGAATATTCTAGAACCTTCTAACAGAATCTTTAGGGAATATTCTAAGAATCTTCTAGAACCTTCTAAAGGAATCTTTAGAGAATCTTTAGAGAATATTCTAGAAGAATATTCAAAGAATCTTCCAATGTATGTCCATGACAGAGTAGCATCCATAATCTTTTCTTCCATAGACAACTCAAACAAATTCAAAAAGTTAAATTAGAAGAGAGTAATTTGCAATCTCTAATATTAAATGAAAATTTCTACAAAGAGAGGTAATCTACTCTTTTTAAGAAAAAAATCAGTGTTAAAAAATAAGATTGTTTGTTTAAAGGTAGGTAATCCATAACCTTTAAAACACAACAATAGAAGTGGGATAATTTACTCACTTTTAAAATAAGATATAAATAGTAAGTTAGTATTCTTATCAAATTATCAAAGATATGAATCTTAAAGAAAGAAATCTTTAATGAACTCTTGTGTCATTCAAAAGAATTAAAAAGTCACTTAAAGATGATATGGTATTAAATTAGAATGGGTATTGCCAAAGACAAGAAGACTAAAAAGACTTGAAACAAAACTAAAGACTAGAAAGATATTGACAAGAATGAAGAAGGCTTTACTCTTGCCTCCATATATACTTTTAAATATAAACTATATAGCAATGTTCTATAGGACCTCCAAAACACGTTAACTTTGTAAGACATGTATCTTAACTTGCAAGGTAAGTTTTCTATATGTATGCTACACAGTTAGCTTGTTCTGCAAGCTACCAATACGTAGTTAATTTGTTGATGAAGTTTCTAAGCTATCAATCAATTACAAACATATGTAAAGTCAAAGCGACGTCTATGAAGCTTTTAATAAGCTTGTTTAGAAAATATTATGAAATAAATCTACTTTTATGTACTTCTATTTAATCATATAGATAAATATTAGAATAAATATATATATATATATATATAATATAATTGCCCTAAATTCATGTATAGAAGATAAAAATTGCCATGATACAGGTTGGGCACCTATTCCTGTGTGGCAGGAGTAGACCTTGGTTCCCCTCAAGTGATGAGTAGATGGATCGGTGACAGGGGCATTTCGAAAACGGGGATAGGTCAGTCAACTAATAATCCTTACACCGTGACCGGAGCGACGCGAGAAAATCCCATCCCCTCTTGCTTGTGGGACATTCAACGGCACAGTGCGAATACAAATTCCAAGGAAAGGATGAGGAGGACACGCCCTTCCACGCCGGTGTGGTCAGTGAAAGCCTCGCCAAGCGCTGCACCACATGCAACGCGTGATCTCCATTCACGAGGATGATTCATCCCCCTCGTTCCCATGTAACCAAAGCTCCAGGGGGGAGCTTGCAATGTTGTCGATTGCTATGCTCTCAGCTGTCATTCCAACAAACTCGAAGACATTGAACTCGCCTTTGTTGATTGAAGCCTATTTGAGCCTCCATTGACGTGTGAGGACAGATCCTGCGAGACCTCACAGGCGTTGTTGAAGAGACCCGATGTCGTGAGCTACAGGTCGGGGGGGTGGGGGAACTGGGTGTTATTGAGCATTGTACGATTTTACAGTGCAAGTGTTTTAGACAGAAATTGTGAAGATGGGGCTGCCGAAGCCGCTGGGGCCATTTGCGGTGTCGTTTGTGGAATTTGAGCTTCGGAGGACGCGTGAGAACTCCCACCCAGGATCAATCTCTGAGGTGGGCCAGGAGAATTGTGCAGCTCGTAATGAGGTTTCGCCAGCTGAGGCTGGTCTGCAAGGAGCGCCACCCATGCGAATATTTTATCCGACATCGTCCAATAGTTCGTGGTCTGTTCGGGACGTCAAGGACCGCAGTTGGATCCCTGAGGTCAATTACTTGAGGGGGTTCCTCTGCAAATCTGTGCCGCCGTCCACCCAGCTTCGTCGCGGTCTTGTCTGGGGACTTTCGTGTATGTCTTCTTGGATCCTTTTGTTATTTGTTGTAATATCAAGAGTTTTATCTTCCTCGTTCTTGTGCTTCGATTCTTTTGAAATATTCTCTTGCAATTGAAATCGCTGTTGCATCGTTGAGCTGCCCTGAATATATCATATGCTGGGTTCCTAACCTAATAGTGTGCTTCGATTGCCAAGATTTAGTATTACTCGTTGACAGGATTCACATTTACACTTTCAATGTTCACTTGTGTGAAGAATCTCAGGACAATGTGGTGCATCCGTTTTTTCTTTCATATGGGTCATGATTGTTATTCGTTTCCAGACATTTCTGATCGCGTAATCGCAATTTGATTCTATTCGTTGAACAGTGTGTACTCGGAAGTTATACAGGAAATAGTGAACGCTGCCAACCATGTGCATGAATTACTGATTCTTTGATGATAATGTCAGATTTAATATACCCCTTCCTCTTTCCGTTCCTACTTACGCAAGCATCAGTGAAGCAACCTTTACTGATTCCTGAGAGTGACTTTAACAAGGATGACCGCCTACCCGTTATCGTCTTCTCTCATGGCATGAGGTCCTGCCGAACGACGTACACTGCTACTTGTATCGATCTTGCATCTCATGGATACAGTTACGTTCTTTCCATCTCGCAAACCCTTTACTACACATTTCTATCACCATTGAGCTGTGTCAGCGTGGACGTGATACTGTTTTCAGATTATGTTTCGAGCAGAAATGTGTTTACCTGAAGTAATGTTTTGGTTATGATACTCATTATAGGGATATTTTCAGCTTTGTGAATTTCTTTTAAGAAAGAGAGTAAAAGAGTAGTGTTTTTAATGGCAGTTGTTGTAGCGGTGGAGCATTTAGATGGATCAGGGATTATTGCTCAGTACCACGATCACAAGGGCAAGAGTACATGGCTGGAGCATGCTCGTTCTGAGATGGAATTTGATGATGTACCCATGAGCTTCCGTTCAGATCAATTGCGACAGGTACGCCGAAGAACTTGCGCTAGCTTTTTGGGTTAGTGATAATGCTGTCTTTCCTTTGCAGCGAAAACTAGAATTTTTGCTGGTTGTATGAACACAGATGGATTTGGACGTTCGATTTAAAATTAACTCGACTATAATTGCATAAGAAGTAACTTTGTGATTTGTATTCTGCAGAGGGTTACGGAGATCCAGAAAGCTGTAGATGTGCTCGAAGCTTTGGATCAAGGATTGCTTTCTCAGGATAGTAATGCAATCAAAGGAAGGACAAGCATGGATGTGAAATTTCTACAAGGACGACTCAATCTGAATTATTTAGGAATGCATGGGCACTCTTTTGGGGGAGCTACAACTATTTCTGTGTGTGGTTTGGACAAAAGGTTCAAATGCTGTGTTGCAGAAGATGTATGGTGGAATCCCCTTGAGCAGGCATGCTTCGAACACCACAACTATGATTTCGCCATTTTTACCAGTTTGAGCGTGCGAGCATGTATGCAGCATTTTTATTTTATTTTTATATTTTATAATATTCCTCCTTCTTTATTGCACGTTTTAATGCAGAATTCTGGTAGACTCTTTCATGTTGTGGTTTTAGTATGTGTAGTTTCAAATTATTGTGTAATTTCGTTCATTCATTCAAGATGATGTGATCTTTGGTTGTGGCGTTTATTGTTAATTGTGGTGTCAATATGATTGTAGTGTCTGGTGATTTGATCGGGTAGTTTCTTAACATGGTGAATAGGTAGCACTGAACAATGATTATGTGTGCAGGATGCTTATGACAGAGTGGCTGGCAATATTCCTGTTCTACTTTTAAATACGGAGAATTTCAACTGGGAATCATTGAAAGACTGTCGAAAGAAGTTTCTGAATGCACGAGCTCAAGCATGTGGAGAAGGGGATTCAGTGGTTACAGAACTACTAACTATGAAAGTGAGCGCCTGATTAACTTTGGCTGAAGAGTGAGACTCCATGATAGAGTATGACAGATTGGTTAGCACTGCTGGAAAACACCAGTTATTTCATCAATATTTGTAACATTTTGTACAGGGCACGTCGCACATGGATCAATCCGACTTTCCATTGCTATTTAAGCGGGCCTCCAAGAGAGCTGTGTACGCTTCCAACTTACACCACTTTGCTGGAGGATATAGTTAATTGTTTGTGTTAGAATGAGTTCCAGTACTGATGCAGTTATCGAGCAGCATGTGCTTCACATTTGTTATTCTAGATAAACTTTTAAGTATGCATGCTGGATCTTCGGATTATTTTCCAGTTAACAACTCTATTATCTTTTTCAACTCTGTTGGCTGCAGAATGAAGGATAAGCTGGATGTGCATCACGCAAAGGATATCAACAGCAGAGCGAGCCTTGATTTCTTTTACAATCATTTGTTGCCCCCTGGTACTTAATCAGTCCTATCCTTAAAGTTATATTGCTGATTGGAAGCTTCAAGGCTCTTATAGTGACAAGGAAAATTCGACATTATCTCATGGATGGCCAGGACTTTTGATTGTCTTTTGAGGCTCTTATCGTAGTCTCTTCTCTGTGAAGTGTTGGCATCTTCCATTTTTTGTGAAAATCAAATCTTTCATGGTTACTTATGTTCACAACTCATGTTTATTCGTAAAGTGCTAAATCCGTCTCTGAGTATTATATTTGATCTGCTTTATACAGGGACAGGGGCTCCTTACCTAGTAGACGTAGTAAAAGAAGATGGCGAACATCTTATTGTTGGTCAAGTCAGATGATATCTCTGCAAGTTCATTTTGGTTCAATCTACCTGTACTTGTAACATACGGTACTCAGTTAATTTAAGATGACAAACTAGATATCTATATTTGTTTTCTGTTTATTCGTCATTATGCTGTGTAGGCAAAAGTTTTACTGCTAAGGCGGTCCGTGTGTGGGCATTTATTTTCATGGATTCTTTTTTGGCGGGTCTGTTAAGTTTATGTAATGAGGGCATCCTCACAGCAATATAAACATGTAGTATGTAAGAAATAAGGAGGTAAGTAATGCTCAAACCTAGATGTGAGGTATGTCAAATTGCAAGTTCCTTGGATTGAAGATGGAAGAATGGACACAGAAACCCATGTTTGCCTCATCGAAGTATGGGGGTTTACACGGTGTCATTTTATGTTCCCCAATCGGGTCACTAAATCTAGAACTCAACACAATTATTCAGAAATGCTCTGAAGGCTCAGCTCTATCTACACAAGAATGGAGGACGTTTGATGGACTACATATGTGTCCATGTACAGCAGCAATTCTGACTCCGGAATTGCTGCAACAGATCCAAGCTGAATTTTCTGCTCTACTGTACCTACCATCACGAAAAAATTCCTGCCATGGTAACGTGTGCGTCAGATCTTTAAGCTTCCATGTTTGTTCCTTTACCAGAAGACTTGCCAGCTTGGAGATGAAGCCTTCCTACCAATGGCTTTGGGGCCCTCGTTGTTCGGTCAAATCCTCGCACACAGACGTATCCTGCCCATTCCAATCCATTCAATCAAATCAATCCTAAGTAACATACCACGCCAGCATTTTACGCTGCTCGTAGTCACTGGAAACCAATCCTATCAATAACAAGAAATTCTTAATCGAAAGTGGATGCTATAAAGGTGAGAGATACCTCTCCAGAAGCACGCTTGTATTTCCTCCGCAGTCATGCCTGTTGATGAAACAAACGGCCAGATTGGTCAATTAAGTAACATAGAAATTGTTAAGCCAATGTACTGGAAGAAAGATGAAAATCCCAGAACCTAAAAGCAACAGAAGGGACAACCGATAGTGCATGCTGTAATAGTATATTTCACCTCGAAAAATGCTTGTTACAGATGTGCCAAAGAATACAAATCGGCGCCGCAGATTCCACAGCAATGTCCGTGGAACCAGAATGGGCTGTAGACTACTTGCGTGGTCTGCAAATACCTATTGAATACCAAAACCATATCACAAGTATCAGTATCTCATTATAGTTCATCTAGTTTCTAACACATCAACACTTTGCCACGGAATTTTGTAAAAATCCATGGATTGGGCAATGAATCTGGTACCTCATTGACTTGAAAGTAGGTTCCGTTCAAGGGGAAGCTGCCTTGCATAGCTGTTCTGCACGGCACCTGCCAACCATTCGAAGTATTCATTTGTGGTAAGTGATGAAGCAGGATGGCTTAATCCACTTAAAATCGTTAGGATGCATCACAAAACGATCACCATCGAAGTTTTGAAGGTAATATAGGCATAGAAAAATTCCTTTTCTCACCAGAAGAGTTGCCTTGATGCTCTCGTCCCCCTCGGACCCGGAAGATGCGAAAGGGTTCTCTTCATTCGCATTGTCATTGATGTTTGGGATTGACTCTGGCACCTTGCCTACACTCAACTCCAAATAAGCAACAATGAGCACCAAGCGCGTGACTGTTCTCTTGTTCGAACATCTAGACTTAAGATGCAAGTTGAAGAAGGCATCTATGTATACCTGGGCTCCAGATTGCGAGCAAGTAGGTACAAGGGTCGTCAGGTTCTCTGGAATCCAACTGTTTCAAATTAACAGCGAACAAAAGCCGGAGAGTCAGGCGGAAGCTAAGGTCGCGAAATCTTCCACATTCTAAACTAGACAGAACAAAACTTACTTCACATTTAATTTGCGAAAACGATGTTCAATACACATAGTTTGGTGCAGACTACGTACCCCATCTAGTAGAGGATGATTGTCAGGAAGCTCATACCTGCAAATACCATCGGTTCATATAATTTATCAAACTGATTTGTCTATTTCAAACATAGATTTAGATATTAGTTTATGGAGTGATTGCAAGACCGATCCAAGGATAAGCTTTCTTACACATAATGCACAGTTCGAAGTCGGCCAACATTCTTCAGCTTGGGGACAGGGATAGACGCAGCTTCAAGAGGCACCAACACCATCTCTTGCGAACCTGAGCTGCCGTTGGGATTTGCATCACCGCTCATCGACTGCTCCGTCACTGTGCTGGGACTCTCCTGATCTAGATTCGTCTCCTTCTCTACGACTTCAATTACGGGTTTCAGACTTGTATCTTGCCCTGAATTTGGACAAGTCTCATTCCCAAGCTGTTGATGGACGTTCGAGTTTGCCGAAAGGCTCTCCCGTTCTTCTAATGTAATCTTCTGTACAGGCTTCGATTCGGACATTACAGTCAAAGGACTGCAACAACTCGGATCGGTTGATTTCTCCTCTTTAGTAGATGGATTTTGACAAGCTTGTCCCTTGCTGCAGCATGATTCTTTGCGCGATTCTTGTATACACAAATTCATGACGGCGTCCTCCTCGACTTCTTCCACGGAGAAGGGATAGTCCTCGATGTCGTCCAAATCCTCGACATTGGCTTCAGATTCCGGCGTCATGGGCTCCTCCACAAAGGGCTGGCAGTACTGCGACACCGTCCGGGGCGGCCGAAGGTAATCCTCGCCCGAAGAAGAGATGGTACCCGGCGGAAGTGCCAGAGTAGGGCGATCGTGGGGTCTCTCTGGAGCTGGAAGCGCAAGCTTGGCACTGGAGACGGCGCTGGCGAAGTGCTTGCACTCGGGTCGCATGGGGCAGGCATTGCAATTCGGCTTGCTCTTGGTGCAAAATACCTGCCATCCATCAATTCACCCCTCATACTTGATTAATCTTACAAACACTAAGCTCAAAGTGATGATACTGATTCGAGCATTTAGAGCACCGCGGATGGGTGCGCTGGAATGACGAATGCATCAGGACGATTTCGCCACTCACCTTTCCAAATGAGATCATCTGATAGTGAAGCTCGTAGAGTGTCTGATGATCCAGCTTGCACAGACGAGGCCACAGGTACTTTTGGATTGTTGCTTGAACTGGGTACCTGTACAAAATCACAACCCCTAGAGTTGATGATTTTACTTACAAACGTAAGCTCAAAACGCAGCAACCTTAGAATCTAGACGCGACCTTTGGCAACTTGAATGCATGTTACGAGAGAGCAATTTCCACTTACAATTCCAGAAGATGGAGTTGAAGCTCTTCAGGAAGCGGCTCCAACGGCACCCATCCCAACCTCACGCAAATACGGCCCACATTTGTATCCACCTGCACAGCATCGCCACAATCTTCATCCTTTTAATCATCCGGTTAGACACCATCTCTTTTACACAGGGGTCAGTGGAATGCTGCTGTAATGTTTCACTGGATTTGCAGCACTCACGGGAAAAGCAAGGTGATGAAGCGTGAGAAGGCGGATGCATTCGACAGATTTGAGACCCAAGCCGCGGATGCTGAGCAGGAACTCCTTGGTCTGATCGGTGGACATGGAGCGCAGCCATTCCAGGTCCAGGGCGCCGTAATCCAGATGAAGCCGCTCGAGGAACGCCTTGATTCTACCGGCCAGGATCCAATTCAGCCCACGCTCCTTGATCACGTCCGCCACTTCAGCCACATCTGCGCGCCGGACCGCCTCCCAGTCAACCCCATCCTCTGTTTGTTCAGTCCTTGGTAGCCCTGTGGGTCGCTGGCGCGGCCTGAACTCTTCTTCCAGATGCGAGAAATCGAAGGACTTTCTCGCGCTCACTTGCCTCTCCTCGATCTTGGCCCGTTCCAGGCCCGTCAGGCCCGTCTTAGGGTTGTATTTCCCGTGGGAAGGGTTGGTTGCGTCCACAAGCTCGCTGCCCTCGGTGGTTGCGTCGGGATTCATATCAAGTAGCTCCGAGGGGTCCTTGGATGGTGCATTGTGTGCGCCATCACTGCTCAATTCGGACGAATTGCTCGGTGCCAGCTCTTGAGGAGGCGACTGTAAGCCAGACTCGAGCTCCGTGGTCTCAACCGTGGAATTGCTTGATATCTTTGCGCTAGCTGTGTGGCTATGTTCCGAGTAGGTAATTTGCGGTGTTGGTGAGTTGAACACTTCCTGCGTGGACTGAGCTCCGTTGCTTTCTACATTGTGGCTCTCCTGCGATTCAAGTAGATTCGGTGGGCATTCATAGGAATGGCCTACATCTCTTGTGGGTGACGATGGCGTGATTGAGAAGGACCCATCTTGAAGGCTTGCGCTGCTCTGAGGTTCAATAATTTGAGGATCTTGGTGAGTCATTGTAATCGACGTTGCCGATGCTGATGGTTCTAGTGGTAAATTTTTCGCAAGCTCACTGTCAAAGGATTGAGCAACAGTATCCTCTGGAGCAGCAGCAGCTGTTGTTGACGTTTGCGAATGATCATTTCTCCGGAAACCGCGACCAGGGAAGCGTGATCTCATGGAGATGAACGCCGAGCTTGATAGCACGTCGTTTACATTTTGTGTGAGAAAAGCGCCGACAACGGAGTCCACCACCGAGCCCTTCCAGCACGAGAAGCTGCGGTCCCCTTGCACGACATGCATGCGTTCGATAAAAACTTGCGCTTGCGCTTTCATTTTGCGGCGTTCTTCTTCCCACTTGAGATCTTTCTCGGAGTCTTTATCAACGGACTCTGCGGTGCCATTAGGCTTCCCCATCAAGAGCTTCCACTCGCGCACAGTGTCGTTGTCCAACACAACCTTAGGCCTCGGTTTTCTTTTCCGAAGCGGCTGGAAGGGGCCTTCGTATGGCACCACGGATTTGTTTTCATATGGAACCATCTCGAGCTCTTCGTTTTCACTGCTATTCTGCTGCTCCTGGCTATCAGAACTTGTGGCTTTTGATCTCGTTTTCTCCTTCAGGGCTTTAGAATTGCTCAATGTCTGATCGTGCATCAAGTCCGGCCACAGTGTCATGGCTTTCGATTGCTGCATTTGGAGCTGACGTTTTGAAGGTTTTTTCGCCTTCTCTGGCTTGCGGTGATGCTTCTCCGATGCATGGTTTTGCCCGCTCGTTGGCATCGCGATTTCCATTTTCGCGTGCTCTGCCAGTTGTCGCATTTGCTCGTCCGCCACCGGCGTCAAGATGACGTCCCAGAGAGATTTAAACTCTTCCTTCTCACTCTCGGGCAGATGCTCAAGTACATGATGCAGCAACATCTTCGGCGACATCTCCAGCTGGTTGTTTGACCTAAGGATGAATTTTAAGTATACCACTCGCTGAATCTGGTTCATCGTTCGAAAGGTGACATTTCGCGGGGACAAAATCCCGCGAGGACACAGCCGGCTCATGAAGGAACTGCTAGTCGTGTTTGGCACGGCTGGACGGATCGAGTTGAATGAACCAAACCAAGGGTTCCACTCGACGCGTCCAGAATTATATGCCGGAACAATGGTACCAGACTCTCTGGCGTGGTTACGCAGGGCCATGTTCGAATGCAGCTCCTGGTAGATCAAATTGCGTTGGTCCATGGCCAACACGGAGTCTCGATGCTGTGCCACCATGTCCTGCAAGTGATATGGATTTGTTTGGCCATAGTCGTATATATCCAAGTGTGTTCCGGACTGATTAAACTGCTTTAGAGATGAGCTTAGCGGCGTTCTTGTTCCTGCCGGGTGGTGAATTACAGCTCTTACAGCTTCTTCAGGAGAACTTGCCAACGCGGAGGACTGATTGGCATCAAAACATCCCTTCAAATCTCGAGTGCTACTCCCAATTCTTTGATCCGGCCACGTTCCTTCGGCTCCAGAAGCTGGTGCTTGAGCTTGCGAGGCGGCAAACAAGTTTCGGCGTACTGATGGCGATGATCTGGGGTCAGAATCTGGGGACTCATGAGATCCTCCTACATCGTGTCCATCTGGTGTGTCAATACGCTTTTCGCGTGATTCCCATGAGCCTCGACCCTGGCGCTCCGGTGGCGAAATTGGACTTTGCGCATTATTGAAAACATTCTCCGAATATCTCCGACCCATTGCACAGTCTTCGATATCATTAAGTCTTGTGTTCTGACCCACAGCTCTCCGTTCTAGCCTCAATTTGATAAACGCCTCACAATCGCACACGGCGGTGTCGTGCTGCACACTGACGGGCTTGCTTTTGGGCACAACGCCAATGTCTTCAACCTCAATATCCATGACCTCTGCGAAGCTTGACTCCCTGCCGTCCCCATGGTTGGAATCATGTTGCGACGTCTGATTTGCTCTCCTCGCAGAATTTTTGGCTGGTAAATCCACGTCTGCACCCATTACGACAACACTAGCTCTCAAAGACCATTCGTTAATGTATCTAATTTGCCATTCAATAAAGAGCAATTGATTGCAAATTTTATTTCTAGGAAAATGTAATTAATAACAAAAAGAAAACCACATCACTCATGGTTCGGCGTGGTAAATTTGCAGTAAATTTATCCTACTGCGTTTATACAAGAATTTGATTGATTCCGAAGAATCAGCAACATACTGATTCCATCGACAACTGGTGCTCCAGAGTTTTTCTTCGCATCCATACGGCGTTTGTAGGTCCGTTTGTCCTTGGCAACGCGAGGATGGAATTTTTTCCGGGGCTTCGGTGTGGCGTCGATGTACCCCGGAACCACGTTCAAGTCAAATCTATGGTTGCTTGACTCTTTGTCTCCAGTGTCGTCCCCAGGGGCCACTGTAGGAGGAGGCCCAGAAGGTTGACAAAACGTTTCCCCTTGCTGAGTACGCCCGGTGGTTTCAGACGCAGTAACACATGCAGTTGCAGCATTTGTCGTTGTCATTTCAACAGGATGATCACTTTTGTGATACATGTATAGAGCCTCAAAATCTTGAAAAGGATTTCTTGAAGGTTGCTCCAATGGCGCAGAGTACTGCAACCTGCGTCCACGAGAGTTCTGGCGAGGTGAATCTGGTTCATCTGCTATTTCTTTGAGTCTGTGCATTTCCTGCAAATAACCCTGCTGCGATTCTGTCAATCCAACATCAACTCGCGGAGTGCTAGGACTCTGTGGCCTCACCAACCTATGATCAGCCACTTCCAGTGTTGAATTAAGTACGTTTGTCGCACCGTTGATTCCGTTGCTTAGAAATGCGGTGTGGGAATTGAAATTCTGCCAATTGAAGTGACCACTATCCCCCGCTCTCAAATGAATGTTGCCGTTGAGGTGAGCATTTTCTAAGCCAAAAGTTGAATCATGGATCACATTCTGGTTGCACACTCCGGCGAGGTTGTGAACCACATTTCCAGTTGATTTAGTAATGGGAGCCCCTGTACTTGGATAGGCAAAAAAAGAGCCGGAGGAGCTGAGGTTCCCCCCTGGCGTGTACCCATTGGCAACCTTGAGCCCATTGCGTTGGTTCAAAAATCCTCTATCCGGGGTGGAGATTCCAGCTTGGAAATTAGCCAACGCCTGTGCCGCGACTGCGGCGGCAGATTTAACATCCATGGGTCTGGGACAATGGTTAAATGTCTGGCCAGATTGCCTATTAGCATGGTCAAAGGCTTGGAAGTCATTCATGCATGACGACGTGGTTGAGCTGATTCTGTTCATAAAATACGTCCCAGCTCCATTGCAATGGGTTGATTCTATCCGTGGTGGTCTTCGCAAAGAATTGCAACTATTGTCTAGTGCTCTTGAGTAGAAACTGATATCCCCTCGATGGTCGACGTTTTGGAAGCCTAATTGAGACGCTGCTGCGTCGAGGCCAACGCAAAAATTGGGAACCGGGGGACACTGCTCCAACGAATCTGCAATAGATTAAATAGGTAGTTACATTGAATTCTGTAAAACATGAAGGACAATATTGGAGTCCATGAACAAAAATCTAAATCCAGTAGACGAATCCTGTTACGAAAATGTGAGCTGATACCGTTGGAGAGTCTTCTGTTGGGCTCTTGCAAGTCGTCAGCGTCATACATGTGAAGATCCTGAGCAACGGGGGGCATAGCACTGAAGCTACGTCTACGTTTGTGGCCCGCATGATCATTAGGCAAGAGGTTGAAGGTTGCGTTCGGATGCTTCCAAGATGGCATCATGTTGGGACCAGGAAACACCCCCTGACCAAGCTCGCAGACGGGTTCCTGGAAGGCGAAAGTCTGCGTCATAGTGATCCTCGTTGATTGATCAATCAACTTATTACTGCATCCTCAAGCGAGAGTTGAAGACTGTTATACCAATGCATGTCGTCTCATCTGCTACAACCACATCCACAGATCACGCAACCACCCTTGATGACCTTTGCACATACGGAACCACTACAGATCCTTCTTCAAAAATTGGCTGAAAAACAAATGGAGTTTCAGCTTTTGTTTCCGGATAATCGACTGTGAATCGAGATGTTGATAACAAAGTACGCAATGAGCACCAAGCAAGCACTCAGCCGTAATAGTGAGATAACTAAATAGATGATTCGGCATTAACATGACACAGTCTGAAGTACCTGGAGCTCGTTGCTCGATGAAGTGACAGAAATTCTGTCTGCGATATAGGGAAACCAATTCTCAATTTAACAGCATTCCTCCTCATTTCCAGTCCCTTTCCCCCAATCGATAAGCTGTAACATGTCATTAACTTTCTGACTTGCGCGTAACATTCGGGTAGCAATGCTGTCTGTTCTCCTTTGGTAGTTTGCGCGGATCTACAAACCTAATTTATTTTGAGACATGATCTCCTGTTCTGGTTGCGATTGTCTTGACCTTCTCTGTTGGCGTCCTTTAGTACGGCCTCACTCTGCAATACAATGTGGTCAACGTGTTCACCGCCATGCTTCGTCGATTGCAAGATGTCCTGCATTCCTTCAATTATCTCATTGTCTAGATTCGTGGATCGCCAAGTATTACTGCGCTTCAGCATCCCGCTTCCATATCGATGTCCTTTGCTGAAGGTCCTAGATGGTCACCCACTGAAACTGCTGTAATTAAGCAAATACCAAATAATCAGTTACTAGGACTTCGTCGTGCTTGATAGCTTAAAAATGATAAATAACCTATCCCTAACACAGTACCGGTACTAATAAGTGGGCGGTAGGTTTCGATCAGCAAAACTTCGATATATTATATTGATGCTTTCGCATGCGTTCTCAAGAGTTCTACTTGGTTAAATTTAATTGTTAAGAAGGCTCTGTTAGGACTGTAGTGAGTGAGCAATGGACTTGTTTTGTAATGCAGGCTCAATGAGTCGATGATTTGGGCACCATCTACAACACATTGAGATTGAAGCTTCACAAGCTATTAGAACACCAAACACTGGTGGAACACGTTCACGTCTCAAGGTTAGGAGTCCACTCATAACCACACTCACATTGTATGGCAGTACTGGCTCCCTCATAAGTTCAGTGGTTCAACCGCCACCGTGGTGTTGTCATCCGCATGTCTACCAGGCCCTAGTAACTATGCAGCCAGGTTCTTGCTTGCATCGTACGACTTGATTGATGATCCACTGAGGGACAACACATAATAGCTTCTTAAGTAGTTACCTTCATTCACGAGATTGCAGATCTGTCAGATCTAGAGACTAGGAGACTACGCCGACACAGCTCATTGAGGAAAAATGGGGTTTCGAACGGCAGATTAAGAGCTTCTTCGCGCGTGCTCCTCTAAGTTGGATCTATTCTGATAATGAAACAACATCTAAACCAAATCCCCGATGCGGAAACCACCAGCACTGCATTAGTACTGGTTCTAAAACCAACGAGCCTGGCTTTTTGTTAAAACACCTACTTCGCGATCGTCGCAGTGAACCCTGGCGACTTCCGTGAACCCTGTGGACTTGACCCAATTGTTAACTGTGGCGCGGGAGTATCCATCAAAGGAATGAAACTGATATTTGAGGGAAAGTTAACAGCGTCAAATCCCAACATTGCAAAATAACTGATTCGGAGCATGCTCTAGATACCTTCAAGCTGCTCAAGCACAAGATAAAAAGATTGAGGCGTCCTTAATATCTCCGGCTTTAATCTAGACGGATATGTCTAGCCGTACGAAAGAGGCCGCTATTACTCTCTCTGTTCAAAATCGGGAGCATATTGCTGCTGGCGCAACCTGGAATGAAAGCAGTAGTTCCGCTGCGAGCTCCGAAAACTTGCTGTCCGAATCAACATGAGAGCTTCTAATACCCTACTCAGAAAACCGTCGTGTAACATGTGAACTGCTGTACCAGTAATTGAAGACTAACCTGCCACACAACCTAAGCTGTTACGCCTGAGTCTGGGTGCACGAGGGCTCCGGAATCTGATACTTGGTGGAAGTGACGCAGGTTTTTGTCTAGGAACTCCCTCCAGACACCGGTCAGACGTTGGACCTGCTTACCACGAAGACAATGAACACTCAAGGTCAAATGGGGTCGCCTTAAGAAACATCTGATATCCCAACTTGAGCTATCTTGTGAGTTCTACATAGCTTCCTTGAAGTGGTAATAGAGCGATTGCTGCAGAGTAATCCTCGAGTTATCTAGAAATGTCCCCACCAGCCTCTTCTAACCATCGCATCAGCTTAAAGGATATTAATTGGTTGCAACACCGATAGTTACAAGCACTATCCTAGAGCAATCCCCGTAATCCCTCATTTGTCAGGGTTTTGTACAGCATCTCTGAGCAGACATTTTCACTACCAACTCCTCCTTTGGTTGCTTTGGTCAACGATCCACTGTGAGTGATCAATAGCAATTTCACAGCCTTGACACCACTATCATACTCAGGTTCGTAGCCTGTTCTTACTTCCAGAAATATTCATTTTCCTTCAGTCTGGCACTAGATCCAGTTTCTCCTCCTGAATGAGCACTTTGTGCTATATCAACGACCGCTACTTCCTCTGAGCAGCTCGCATGGAAGAAAATCCCCTGAGAAACCTACCCCGGCGGACTTAGTCAACAGAACAAGGTGTGAGGCTGTGGATACGTTTGGCTTAACTGAAGCTCCCCAGCGCTACTTGTTGCCAGTGCTCGTGAAAGCTATCATTCTTGTTATTCAGTCCGATACAAACCGGTGGAACTAGAAAGAAATTTTTATCAACTACCTTAACATGAATGTCTTCTGAATCATTTTCAAGTCAGACAATATCAACGCTTTTTGTTTTGGTTCGGAGGAATCAACGATTTGTCAAGAACCACCTTGTCTTCCTGTGCATGTACCTTGGAACTCCCAGAGGACCCGTTTTGCACCCGGTTGAGATTGGTTCCAGGACAGACGCGAGACAGCCACAACGTAACAGCAGAAAAGATGAGAAAATTCAATCCTTACCTCTCAGCTCCCAAAACAAGCTCTAGCACAGTCTTGGAGCTGCTCTAAACCTACAACCAGGTTCATGTCTGCCACTCTATGGGAACTGTGCGAAGGAAGGGACTTCTCCTAAACTGAATGGAAGCGGCCTGTGCATTTAAAAACCCCGTAAATAGTCAAACCGGATGGAGCGCAAGGGAGGAGTATCAAAGCAGAAACGCATGACTCAATATTTCAAACAAATGTCTAGATTACACTAGAGACGATGAGGAGGAGCGCTAGCTAGTGCTACGCGAGGATCATGATCCCTCCCTGCGCTCCCTGCCTTCGGGAAAGGCGAATTGCAGAGGACTTGGGGCAAAGGCGCTGGAGAGACATACCGAAGGAATTGGAAGGTCCGCGATAATTGAGCAAACGGGGAGGGGTGGGGGTGAGGGGACGGGCAGCGATGGGGAAAAGGGAGTCTGCCTGAGGCGCATCCGGGCGAGCCCCAAGTCCTGGAAAACGCTCTGGAAATTACGAGAACTCTCAGGCCTAGTGTTATGAAACCATTTGAGTACTGGTACAGTGGGTGAAGAGGCAAGAATAGGTACAGACGTGTGCCTTCGCTGGTATCATGGTGACTGCCCTGCAGGTCTGTCGTGACTGTCCTTCTCCGCCAGCAAGCACAGCAGCATCCCATCCCCCCCCCCCAGTTGAAGAAAATAACCAAAAAGTAAATTTTATAATTATAATTATAATACAGGCAAACGAACAAATAATGGATCAAGCAAAAAGAAAAAGAAAACCCACAAGCTGAAGCGCCTCTGGGTCTAGATTTCTCAAAAGGAGAAGCGAACGACAGGCTCCATTTACACCGCACCTGGACCCGGATCGATCCCCTCCCCGCTACAGTACCGATGCGGTACATCACCAAAAAAATAATCCTGATCAATCAATTAATTAATCTTCGTTTTCTTCCCTTCCCCCCAATCGTGTGCGCGTCCAATGATCGACGCCCGGGTTTCCTCCGCCTCCGTCACGTCAGTCGGTTCCTCACTTCCTGGTGGTAGCTCCCTGCTTGTGCCACTGCAACCAGTCTCTCTGATCATCCGCACAGTCGTCGTTGTCATCATCATCGACAATACCATGGCGAGGAAACGAGCTCAACATGTGCACTGCAGCAGCAACAGCAGCGGTGTTACTGATCCCATCCCCCTGGTCCCAAAGGGAAAAATGCACTCCAAAGCAACCTTTCAGATTGAATTTAAGTGTAAAAGGCCAGCCATGACAAATTCACTCAACTAGTTCTGGTTCTCCGCAGGCTTCACCTTCTCCCTCGCTCTCTCTCTTTTTCTCCCATTCTCTTTTTCCTTTCTGTATTAATCCAACGGTGTTTTACTTGGCAAGGCATAGCTTTCTCTTTTTCTTTGGATTACCAAGCATCTGAATACAGTTGAACCTTTCCTCAAGATGCGAAATGTCAGAGGCAGTTCCAATCAGGCCCAACCCCACATCTACGAGGTTTGAATGGAACTCCTGAGAGGACGTGGCGCCCGATTCACGTAAGTTTACCGACTTGCTGGTGGACGGCTACAAGGTCCCCATGGACAACATGGCATGCTCCTTGATTCTGCTGATTGTTATTAACCAAATGATTTTCTTAAATTGCAAATATTCAATTAAAAATGAGGAATATGGATGTATGGGTATATAATAAATGGTTCATATATTCTGCCTGTGGTAATGATTTTGTTCCCAGAACCCTCATCAACAGTGGATGGACTTGGTAGTCAATTATAGTGGGCTACCCAAGGTATGATGAAACAGGGGTCATGTTTTGTGGTGGATGCTTGGAAAGTAAGGTAGGGTTGCCATTATCAAGGCTTTGCAAAGAAGCCATGTAGGGGAGACAAGCTCCAAGCTCTCAGCCCAAACCTCCCCCGGCCAGGATCCATACCCTGTTCTCATTACCATACTCAACTACCCTCTCTAGAGATCCGCTGCAAATCCTTACAGCTTCTGATGGCTTGTTTCACAATGCACAGTTGCTCTCCAGGGCCTGAACAAGTGGGGAACATGATGCACTTGAAATTGCATCATTCTAGTTTGCTTTGCTAACAAGATTGTCCATTGATCTGCCATCCCCCCCCCCCCCGCACACACACGCATTGTTTGTTCCTCTAGCTGGCAGGCCTGTACAAATCACTTGAAGTTACCACCTTTGCTTGATTCTTCTGACATGAAAATGAGGAAACAATAATTGAATTGAATTAAGCATGTTAAAAAAACAAATGCATATTCTTAATTTAAAGTATTAAAAACCATCCAATTGGTTTGACAAGAAATTCTGTTCCAAGCCTCCTCCTATTGGGGATTGGATGTCAAATTGCCATGCATTTTGGTTATGTTAGTCACAGGGTAAATTTTAAACAACTCTAGCTCTTGTCAACTCTTATTTCTAATTAAAACTTTCATTGGTTATATATTACACAGAATCCAGGGTTAAATTTTGGAGCCATCACTTGTTTTGCCATCAATTGAAGACGAGTGTGGATGATTGTTATTAGCTGCTCATTGCAAGTCTCCCTCTGAAATTAGCTAAAGACAGTATCATGAAAGGATGGTCAATCCAATTCCCTTGGCTTTGAGAGGATGGTCCAGAGGGTTCTAGAGAAAGACCTAAATCAGGCTTTAATTGGCAGATGAACCAATAAAATTTGGTGAGGCCTACATGGAGAACCTTTGATCCCACATTTTTTGGGAACCAATGTTCCAACAACTACAGCTGTAAATCACTTATGGCTCATGCTCTCATACCACATAGTCATGGTTTCCTTCAATAATGTCACAAGAGAGGGGAGGAGAGAGAGAGAGAGAGAGAGAGAGAGGAAGGCTTTACACAATGCACACATATTCATAAGGTCTATTATATGTGGGCCTGCTTAGAAGAAGAAAGAAAGAAAGAAAGAAAGAAAGAAAAATGTCTAAATTTCAAACCATCAAAACATGTGGAAACTACTAGTTGGGTTGTCACATTGCAAGACACTAAAATACCATGTAACCCTCAACTACATTCTCATCTCTCATTATTTCTTATTTTCTTATTTGTGTGGGTGTATGTGTGTATGTGTGTATGTATAAATTTTTTCACTTACTTCTAGAAAGGTTTCAATTCCCCAAATCATGCACAATCTTGCAACTGGCAGCAGTAGAAGTCCAACAAGCAGGTCAAAAAAATCAAGAGAGAGAAACAAAACCAAAACTAAACATAACAACATGTAATGCATAACATTAGGAAATTATCAAAAATGCAATACAGAATACACAAAGGCAAATGTTGCCACTGGCAACAAGCATGAGCCATATGAAACAAGATTCAGGTGCTATACAGAAGCCTGACCAAAGAAACCCTAGAATTTTGACTGTCTAACCAATCTCACCAACAGGGTAACCTTGCCCCCTAATTCCATAGTTTCTAGTAAGTGTGATGCTCATTGATGCAACTTATGACTTCTTCCTTCTTCCACCCTCCACACCATATTATGTATGGTCAAAAGAACGACCTCCTGTCTCCATTTTCATGTGCAGATTCTATCCTGGAAAGTGCCTCCAGGATACTGGTATTGCAAAAGGGGGAGGGGGGTGTGTTTTACCACTCTCTCTTATGTTTTGCTAAGTTGAAATTTGTCATGGAAGAGGAGCCTTATCATCCAACCTCAATCACCACAATCATTGCCCCAAAGATGCCAATTCCACTTGGCCTCAGTGGTGGTGGGGGATGGATGGTACACTTTTGACCTATGAATGATCAAGTCACCTAGTGATTTGCACAAGAATACAGTTGGAGGCTGGGCAACCCTGACTATGCTCTTTTGACATTTATGGGGTCTTATCCACAGGATTATATATCTAAGTGCATGCTTAAACCCAGGGTTTGTGTACAGAGCCCCACGGGTTTCCTTATTCAGGGGGTGGGGTAAAAGCTTTAGCATTGGTCTCCACACGTCAGGTAGCCCAAATCCTTCTAAGTAGTCAGATTGTGGGTGTGGGTGTGTTTGTGTTTGTGTGTATGCTCTCTCTCCATGTTCATGTGGTCTCATTGGCTTTGCCAACTCAAGATTTACTCATCCACATGGGGCCTGTGAAGATGACACAAATGCTTGCATGAAAAGGTTTGTGATGATGGGAAGAATATGAATGTGAAAGGAATATGTACAGCATGACAAGGGCTTCAAATGCTCACTATTGGCATTTGGGGTGAAAGTTGGCCTTTGGGTTTGGTCTTTAGGAAAAACCACAAGAATCTGATTTTAAGATTGAGTGTATTTTCATATTAGATTATTTAGGAAAACAATCAAACTGAAACAAAATCTAAACTGATAAAATTTTGAATCAACAGATTTTGACTTTCATAGGTACTGTGATAAACAAGTTATCCCTGCATTCATGAAAGTTTAAATTTTTTATGATATAAATCAAATAAATTTATATTGAATGGTGGAAACATAAGAAAATGGTAGGTGTGTGAATGAATGTGTGTACAAATCCATACATACATACATACATACATACATACTTACACACACACACACACACGTTTACACAATGTACATGAGATGTATGTTGAATTATTTGGGAATCTACGACCCAATTAATTCTTCATACTTGTTCTTATATTGTATGTGTGTATCAACAACAAACCAGTTCTAAAACATATGTATGCATGTAAGTTTTTTTATTTTTGTTTTGTACATGTGGAGAAAGAGAATATCTCCCAAGCACCAAAGAGGTGAGCCTGCCAAGCAGTACAGCAATCCAGATTTGGGCTCCATTTTGCATCTTGTTTTTTGCAATCCCTATGCAAAAGAGCCTGGGCCAACTACATCACAACAGAATCCAATCTTTGAAAACTGATCCAAAATCATAGACATAAGCAGTACTCCTTTGAGCATGTTACAGAGTGCTTTGGACTCTGTCAGTGAGCAAATCTGACAGTGTAACCAAGGTGAGGTCTCTGGCAGGTAGTCTCATGCTCTCTCTGTGTGCAAGTGATAGTGTATATGTGCAGACCTTGCTTGGGTTTCCGGGCTTTCATGCTTTGGTTTGAGTTAGGCATTGTTTCTAATTTGTCATATGACTGACTGAAGGCAGTTGATTTGTAGTGTGGTGGCAGGTTGAGTTCTTAACATAAAACTCTCATTTCTCTATCTTGTCTCTCTCTCATGGGTTCTAATGAGCCCAAACTTGAAGCACTACTTGGATTCAGTTGTGGGAATTGCTCTTCAAACAATACAGAGGAGATATTTCTCAAATTGAGTGAAGGAGAGGTTCACACAATATAATGTTTTATGGCTTTGAGAGTGGATGGATCCAGAGATAAGGTAACCAATTG